AGTGGTCATGTGACTGTGCGGGCGTGGCCACATGAACAGCTGGAAGTGGGCACGGGAACAAGGAGGCGGGGCCACGGGAACACAGAGCACCATGTAGGACACAATGGTGGACTTGACTGTGTTCCAGTCCGATATTAGGCAGCTGTCTCAGAGAACCAGGGTATAAACCAGGCTTCCCCTGGAGAAACTCCTTCTGGGTGTTTCCAATGAAATGAAGAACACACAGGTTTCTACTTGACCTTTTTGCAAAGTCACGCTCGGCGTCTCTTCCCATCCACGAAGTCGGGAGGCGTTTGTTGACATTGGCCAACCACCGAGACCGGTTCTGTGTGCGCCCGTGTGAGCGGACGGCTCTGCCGTGCTGCATCGGAACAGCCCGGGCCAACCCGGCACAGCTCTCCCAGGCTCCTCACGCTCGGTGTTGCCATGTTCAAGTTGGAAACTTCTCCTTCCGGGTTGATAAGAGGCTGGGGTCTGAAGACTTTAATGCGTGTTTCTCAGCAGATAAGTTATAACATGAAGGCGTGACCGGGCGTCGCACAGCAGTGAGGTCCTGGGGGAGAGGGGGACGTGTTCTCCCAGGGGGCGGACGCCTGGACACCACTGGGCTTCAGCACACCCCAGGGCGCCCCGAGGTGGGGGGATGGGACCTCTTAAGTCTTACTGTGGTCTGTCTACACTTACTATTGGGCACCAAGAAAATATACACCCTTCCCCCCCCCAACCTAACTCAGCATTTTCTATTTGGTCGCTGCCACAATACAAATACATCTTCAAGGTTGCGTTGGTGGTATATTGGTGAGCATAGCTGCCCTCCAAATACATCTTCAAGCCCTGGCTGGTGTAGCTCAGTGGATAGAGCGGCAGCCTGTGGACTGAAGGGTCCTGGGTTCGATTCCAGTCAAGGGCACATTCCTGGGTTGTGGGCTCGATCCCCAGTGAGGGGCATGCAGAAGGCAGCCAATCCATGATTCTCTCTCATCATTGATGTTTCTCTCTCTCTATCCCTCTCCCTTCCTATCTGAAATAAATAAAAATATATTTAAAAAAATAAAAATAGAATTCGCTTTACCCCATTCGTGTCAGAGCTGTCCACAGAAGCCCTTGAAATGTAGACGGGAGTGTTATATATAAAATAGATGTAAGACATCTTCTCAAAAGGAGGATGTTTTCAACCATAAAACCGTTTGTGGTAAACGTGTGCGAATTTACAAAGAAAAGTCAAGGGAAGGAGGAGCTTGGGTTTTACTTAGGGCTCCGCCCACACAGGCGAGTGACTGCCAAATCCATGGAAAGACAGCAATTTGGGTTCAGAGCTGGTGGCTCAGTGAGGAGCCCGAGGGTCCCACTGGGGATGTGGGTGTCTGCACATGCATGTGACGTGTGCGTCTGCATGTGCATGTGTTTGTGTGTGCATGTGTTTGTGTGTGCCCATGTGAGCGCATGTGTGGCTCTGGTGGGTAGAAAAGGGGTGAGGCGTGAAGGACACTGGACACAGGGAACCGGACAGGACATGGAAAGTGCCTGCGTCTGGCCATCACTGCGCCGTGATGGCGTGTGCGCCCAAGGGGGACACAGCTGCTGGCACTTGTTCAGGAGCCTGGCCCAGGGCCATGCGTCCTAGTTGGATGCAAACTCTCTGGGCGTGGAAAGCTGAGCCACAGGAGACCAGGCAGCACCTGATAAAACTCACGTTCGAGGAGCAGCCTGGGGGCGTTGGAATCTGACCGGCAGGAAGGCCCCAGATGCCATCTTCAGCCCTGAAAGCCTGAGCGCAGCGGCCAGCCTCCTTCGCCGCGTGGCACATACACTCATCCCCAAAATTCTGCGGCACACCAACAATTGTGTTTTTGGCTGATCTGACAAAAAGGTAGACTTTGATTCATTCAGACCAGAATGGCCATTGTTGTTCTTTATTTGACAATCTGAGGGAAAGAGGCCAGTGCCCTGACTAAAGTCAGGTGTGGCATGTTTTACAAATTCTTTCATCCTGGGAGAGTCATACAGAAAATCACACACACACACACACACACCAGAAGCCGTGCTCCTGCCGGGGCTGACTGGCGCTTAGAAAGCCAGGGGCCGAGAGGCGCTCAGGCGTGGAGTGTGTCAGCGGGACGCGGGTCTGGTCGGTGACGTTCTATCCCTCAGTATCTCATCCCGAAGCCTTTTGAGAAAAACAAAGTATTTTTTAAAATATATTTTATTGATTTCTTACAGAGAGGAAGGGAGAGGGATAGAGAGTTAGAAACATCGATGAGAGAGAAACATTGATCAGCTGCCTCCTGCACGCCCCCCACTGGGGATGTGCCCGCAACCAAGGTACATGCCCTTGACCGGAATCGAACCTGGGACCCTTCAGTCTGCAGGCCGACGCTCTATCCACTGAGCCAAACCGGTCAGGGCGAAAAACAAAGTATTTTTGTGTGATGTCACACACTAACACAAGGTTTCACCACATCCCTTACTTTTATTTACTACAAGACAGTAACACCAGGTCCGCCCCTCGTCACACTTCACCTGACGGCTCTGGCGGGCTCCCACGTCGGATCGACTGCTGGTAGAGAAGTGAGCTTTGCAGGAATTGTGTTCTTGCTAAAGTGGGTGATAAACCAGACCTTCTTTTTGTCTTCGATTTAATTAGGAAACGCAGGATGAAAACGGGGGATTAGCATCCAAAATATGTTGTTTTTCCCCATTTTGGCAGAGTCCCGACGACTCAGAAACACGTGTCCTTACGGTCACGCCGTCCTCGCAGATCCGTAGGCGGCAAACATCTCCCGGGATTACTCGTCACCAGATGCTGTGCGTTTGTCAAGGAGGCTGTTCCTTCTGTCCTGGTGTTTACTATGCACATCGTCTCCTCGAATCTGCTCACCCATAAGGGGAACCTCGGACTGAGCTGTAATTGAAAACTCGGTCCAACACATTGGACGCAGTAACATGCGGTTAAGCGTCTACGCTAAATAAAAACGAGGCTAATCTGACTTGTCTGTACTTGCAAGCTTTTCACTTAAATCTACAAGCTCCATGAAAATCGCAGATGCCTCCACGGACTCCAGGATTACAAAACCAGCGGATGTTAAAGGACGTCTGTTAGAAATTCCGAGTAATGATGTATCGACTTAATTCTTAACCACAAAGTGACACGACACTTTCATAGTTTGTAATCGAATATAATTTCAGTGCAATTACTGTCTCTGTGTAATCGTCTGCAGTGACTTTGTTAAAGGGGCAGCACCCCGTGGGCATCCAGTGGATAGGGACTTACACGTGTGACATTAGAGTTACGATCTTTCCGAGGAAAGGCACGGTAGCACATTTGCGTGACCTGGGACTGATCTGCTCCTCTTCTTGCAGTTTCGTGACAGGGAACGACCTCTGAAGAGGAGAGCAGCCCTGGCCGGTTTGGCTTGTGGATGGAGCGTCGGCCGGGCCCTGGTCGGGCACGTACAGGAGGCAACCAATCGATGTTTCTCTCACATCAATGTTTCTCTTTGTCTTTCCCCCTCCCTTCCACTCTCCCTGAAAATCAATGGAAAAATATCCTCAGAGGAGAATTAACCAAAATAAATCAATAAAAATAAAGAGAACACATTCTTAGCGGAAAAACAATGGGCTCCTCCCAGGAGAAACGTGTGAAGAGACGTTAGCAACGAAACTGTTCTGGGCCTGACCTGGTTCAAGTGAAAACAGCCGTGGGTCCTGGCGGCTTCCTCTGGGAGGACAAGATCCCACACATGGCTCCTGGGTGTCCGGCCTGGGCCTCTGTCCGGGGCTCCCGTCTCGTCCAGTTCCCAGCACAGAGCCTGGCCCCCAGCAGGAGCTCAAACACGCCTGTGTGTGCACATTCAGGACCAAGGACGCGATTTTAGCACCAGGAGGTCCCCAGCTCCAGGGAAAGCCTCGGGGCCTAGGAACCCAGGCCCCTCCCAGGCAGCGGGTCCCCCAGCGTTCCCACCCACAGGCAGAGCCCAGGGTTTCTCCCCTGTTACAGGGACCGGGACAACTTCAGGACTCAAACCAGATGCGAATTTCCTTCGTCAGAACCACGTGAGGCTGTGCTCACCCTCACAGCGCACCTGTTCCCTAGCTCACCCGGGTCTCAACGCCCCCGGGGAAGGTCTGAGGGGTAATTTCATAGAGTGAACACGGAAGGTAATTATAGTGTGAAAATTCAAACGGATGGAGCCATTTGCTGAAGTATAATTATCTGAAATCATGAAGGGTAATAATATTCAACAGGAAGTATAATTACCTGAATCATTAAGGATAATAATATTCCACAGGACAAAATTATGTTTTACCATGAACAGTTATGTTGATTTGTAAAATGGATATTGAAATGTACCTGTTATAAAAATATAAAGATACTATTTTATCCAAACCCAAAATAGCTAATCGTCAATATAAAATTCTCAGTAGAAAGCCAAGAAAGGGACTTTCTCCCTCTTAGTCACAGAATGCATACCTTCCATTCAGATAAATATTTATTGATTCAACTGGTATGTACAGGGTGTCCCCAAAACACATCCACACTTAGAATAAGTATTCATTCCAATGGTCTAAATCTGAAAAGAAAGAAACAGCCATTAAGTTATCAGGAAAAAGCGTGTGCACATTTTGTGGGGACACCCTGTAGGTACCAGCTACGAAGTGCCAGGCATGTAACTGACTCAGTCTCAGCTTCTGAAAGAAAGGGAGTGAGTCCCACTCGCTCACAGGCAGCGCTGACCGAGACGAGTCCAGGGGACTAGCCCAGATCTAAGCCACGGCGTCCTGGACAGCGCCGGGTTCCGCAGCAGGCGAGGGGTGAACAGCTGCCAGGGGGCTGGGCTGTGACAGGGACTGGAAAGGAGCTGGCTCGGCTGTGGGGCGGAGGTGAGGGCTGGGTGGACGTGGGGGCAGAGGGAGCAGCACATGCAAAGGCCCAGCAAGCGGAAGGAACGCCCGTGCGTCGGGAGTTTGACGCAGCCATGACCTGGATGGTGGCATAAGCGTGTGGGTGATGCTGGTATCCTGACATATGAACACGGGAGAAAACCCGGTTTCAGGATGGAGGCTGCGATGCTGGTTTTGGAAATGGGAGCTCATTGGCCAACCAGGAGGCAGGCGCGGGGGTCTGAGCCGCGTGGCCAAGGCCCAGGGGGGGGGGGGTCTGGGCGGATGGGGGGCAGGGAACGATGTAGACTACAGAGGAGGGAGGACACCTGGCTACAAGGTGTGGACAGAGGAGAATGTACCACAGAAGCTCCGTGTGCTCCCGAGGTCCTGGGGAGGAAGGACAGGAAGAGGGGGGCTTGCGGGTGGGCCAGGCAGGTCTGTGGTCTGGGCACGGGGTGGAGGCTGGAGGTGGAAGCAGGTGGCAGCAGCGACCAGGTGCTCAGAGCTCCGGGCACAACCTGGGAGGGACAGACCCCAGGACAGGGGCCAATACGCCCACTTCACCGTAAGGGAACTGGACGCAAACGTGTTCATTTCTTCGTCTCACTCAGCTCAGCATCTCCTCCTCCCACCCCAGTTACAGAGCAGCTAAATGTCTTCATGTGTAGCTCATGGAATGTGTTTCTTCACTGGAATATTCTTAAGGCCGCCCCCACCTTAGCCTCCCTCCAAGTGTGTCTCATGGGACATCCCGGGAAGTGGAACTGAATAAAAGTTGAAGTTTAAAAGCCACATCTATATTTATGTATTTACACAGACACACAGGCTGTTTGGGAAATAAGGCAGCTTTACCATTGATATTATCAATAAATAAGCACACCTTTAACTTGGATCTTGTTAAAATGTTCACTAGAGAACGAATCTCCTGATAAGATCAGATCACTGCCCACTTTATTTTTTATTTTTATTGTTTTAAATCCTCCCCCGAGGATATTTTCCCACTGATTTTTAGAAGGAGTGGAAGAGAGATGGAAAGACAGAGAGAAACATCGATGTGAGAGAAACACATTGATTGGTTGCCTCCTGCACAAGCCCGACCAGGACCCGGGCCAGGGAGGAGCCTGCAACCGAGGTATGTGTCCTTGATCGGAATCGAACCCGGGACCCTTCGGTCTGTAGGCCAACACTCTATCCACTGAGTCAAACCAGCTAGGGCTGTTCCCCACTTTAAAACAAGGCAGTATTGCTTGTGATGTCACAGACCTCACCAGAAATCCCACCACTGAAATCAAAGACGAGTCAGCAAGGACGAGAAACGTGTCCCCAAAGCGTAAGACCAACGGACTGCACGTCGCCTAAGAGACCAGGGAGTGTCTCCTACAACCACAGGCGGAGAACGGCCTGGCACGCCCTCACCAGGACAGCACACCCCTGCCTCAGGCCCTTCAATGCTTCCAGCCCCTTCCACGGAAGCAGCTTAGTCAAAATCCGAAAATGCGCTGAGTACAAATCCAACACACACGCAGGACACACTGCAGGGACGGCTCTCCACCAGTGGGCTCCACCACGGGAAGGCAGACGGCCAGGCACACGGGCGCATGGGCTCCCTTAACTCAGCAGCATGTGGAACAGGGAACAGCCACCCAAGGGGGGAAAGACATTCCTATACCGAACAAGAGACATTTAAATCTGGCCACATTCCCATTATTCACACAAGCAGCCATTACAAAGAATGTGCTGTATTTTTTACGTCAGAAAAAAAATATTTATGACTAGAAATATACTGGGTCTTAACTTTCTTTGATATCACTTTTCTAATTAGAAGCACTAAGTTCTCTTTCTTAACTGAAATGATTACGTGACTATGCAAATTCAATGATGTCACGGAGAGTGACTAATAAGAAAATGAGTCTAGACCCCAATCATTCAAGTAAAAATGAACAGCCAGGAGAGGTTCATAGGGCGTCAATATACAGGGCCATTTTTCAACTATTTAAGCTGCGACTGTAGCTACAGATGTTCATGTTTTTAAAGACAGATGTGCGAACAGGATACTTAACAGATTCGTTTTCAATAACTGGGAACCTGAACCTTCCCATCCACTGGAGTTCAAGGGCAGCGCATTGAGCACCCAGTATTTCTGAAAAAAAGTTATTCTTGCTCTTCCCATTCTCTGTGTCATTATTCTAATACTTGGTGTCCAATGCTGACAAAACTTCTTGCAAATACAGGTCACTCAGGTTGTATCATACAATCAAGGCTCTCCTCTGTTCACAGCAGCACCGTTTACAACAGCTAAGATTTGGGAACAGCCTAAGTGCCATCAGCAGATGAGGGGGTTAAAAACTATGGTCCATCCACACAATAGAATACTACGCTGCTGTAAAAAAGAAAGAAATTTCACCATTTGCAACAGCACGGAGGGACCTGGGGAGCATTATGCTAAGCGAGATAAGCCAGTCCGAGAAAGATAAACATCACATGACCTCACTCATTTGTGGGATATAATGAACAACATAAACTGATGAACAAAAATAGATCCAGAGACTTAGAAGCATGGAACAGGCTGTCAAACCTCAGAGGGAAGGGGGCAGGGAGTAAGAGATGAACCAAAGGACGTGCGTATATACGCAAAACCAATGGACACAGACACTAGTGGGGAGGGGGCATGTGCTGGGGGGGCGGCGGGGAGAGGTCCATGGGGGAAAAAGGAGACATGTAAAACTTTCAACAATAAATAAATATATACATATACATATATATTTTAAAAAGAAAGACTGCAGGCTACAGAAAATAAATTAAGAAAAATTAAAAAACAAAAAACCCACAGCAGCACGAACCCCATCCTGCAGCCGACGGGCGACCAGCGCCCCCTGGCGGCGCGCTCCAGAGCCAGCTCCCACGGAATCCACAGTCGCTCACGGAGCGTATTGGTGGGGGCCCTGCCGTTCATTTCTTTGTAAAAAACTGGGGTGACTGCCAATACGCCTCCGCGCGGTGAGTTCCGCGGCGGGACAAACCCGCTGCAACCACACGAGGACAAGCGAGACCTTTCCCGGCCGGAGCGCTCCTTTCCAAACCCCAGCGGCGCGTTCAGCCCGTCAGCCGCTCGGCGCCCTCAGCAGCAGCTGCTTCCAATGGCACCCGCCCGTCTCCAGGGGAGCCGCCCCTGCACCGCGGGCTCAGCTGCAAAGACTTTAACAGACCGGGCTGCACACGTGCCGGTGAGGGTGCTGTGGCCGATGCGGGTGGGAGCGGATGGAGAGGCACCGCCTGTGCACAGGTGTGAGTGTGTGATCTCACGCCTGGCTGACAGGCATATGACAAACAGTAACTTATAGGAAGCTTCCCACCTGCCGGGTCTGGGCATTTCTCCGCTCGCTGTCACTCAGGCCCCGCGGGGGTGGGGTGGGGGGCGGGGGTGGGGTGGGGGTCACCGCGTCGGCAGAGGCCGCCCGGTCCGTCCCCAGCGGCAGCAGGAACTCGGCTCTTTCCTAACTGCCTCCCGGACACGGGCTGCGGTGGCAACTTGACCGTTTCCAGCAACTTTTCACTGAGGTCTGAGCCGCATGTCGGCTCTTCCTCACGCAAGTTCAGTTATTTCAAAATGGGGGCGGGGGGCGGACAAGAAGAGACGTGGAAGCCGGTGCGAGGAGCCCCGAGTCCTGGACGGGGAAGGCGCCACCGACCTCCTAGTGGCTCCTACCCATCCGGCCGCCAGGCGGTGGTCACTG